CAGCTATATGACGGCGGTCTGTAAATCGAGTAAATATGTTAATCGAGTATGGATCAGACAATCCAGTGATTGATATCATGAGCACGCAATTGGGATACGATGACATGCATCAAGCGAGCCTGACCACACAATCCCGCTAGTCGCCTCTTACGACAAGCATAGTCGCTTTTTACGGCAAGCATGGGTTGCTGAAGACCTATTCTAACCCGGATCTTCACGGGTCTACAAGCAAGACGTTCATGGGATACTTGGTGACCTGGGCCTACGTGCACAAAGCAACCTTACCGCTAAGGCTAACGTATGGACGTTCGCTTTGTGCAAATGGGCCCTGGACCCCATTTCAAGAAATCCAAGCTACGTACGTCGTAAATCTATGTTAAACAGTCAGAGTGTCGCACTGGTTGCAGAGTTGCGTCCCTTGAGCATGAAGTGATTCTATGATCGTGGGTTCGAATCCCAAATTCGCCCTTCTTTATGATCATCGGTTTGATAGCACCGTACCGCGCTTGTGGGTTTCACCAAACTAGCACACATCCCGATTGCATCACTTTCCTACTTTGCCCCAAATCAAACCGACATGCTTTCATATCACTGAACATTAATTATTTTTGATTATTCTTGTATTTTTATGATTAAATTTGCGCCTTTAATAACTGAACAAACCTTGTAAAACGTCAGTACCGTAACTTTTAACAACTATGACACAGCAGTTCATTTTGGCACCGAACACATCACGTGATTAGTATCATTCGTCACAAAGTTACCAAACAGTCAAACAATTTGGGAAAATCACCATCTTCCTGTCCCGATCTTACAACTGTTTTCAAGACTCGTCGCTAATGTAGACACACGGGGACTTCTAATTGCCTGTATTAAAGAAAACTGGGCTAGGCCAAGCAACGTAATGATCCTGTGTCGGCCACGATCTGACGACTCTCTGACAGCCTCAACAACGCTGGAGAAGATCCTCCTCTGATAATACGCCCGTCTTTCAAGGTAGTCTCTTAAATTGCCCCAGTGACGCATCAGTCGACAGCTCCAGGGACCTTCTGTAGGTATTGTGTATCCAAGCCATGTGTTACATCGACTTAGGGGATCTAAACATGTCACTTCCAATTCGAGAAAACAGAAGTTGAGTTTGACATCGAGACCCGGGATTAATAGTTCCGTATCTCTCGCCGAGGTGGCGGGTGGCTGAACCTTCAGATGGCTTTCCTTAACAAAAGCTAACGCCAGTCGGTTGTGTTACGTCTTCATAACACCCTAGGTGGTGAGGAGAGGAGGTGTAGGGTTTAACGTCGCGTTCGATTATTGCACTTATATAGAGGTGTGCGAGCGTGCATGCGCGTGTGTGTGTGCGTGTCTGTGTCTTTGTGTGCCAGCGTGCGTGCGTGAGTGTGTGTGGCTGCTTGTACTAGTCCGGACTGATACGTACCTATATTTATAGTTCCAGCCCACTGAGATTATTGTGCATATATAGCGAGGTGTGTGTGTGTGTGTGTGCGTGCGTGCGTGCGTGCGTGCGTGCGTGCGTGCGTGCGTGGCTGCTTCTACTAGTCCGGACTGATACCCATTTTTATAGTTCCAGCCCACTGACATTATTGTGCTTATATAGCGACGTGTGTGTTTGTGTGCGTGCGTGCGTGCGTGTGTGGCTGCTTCTACTAGTCCGGACTGATGCCTATTTTATAGTGCTAGCCCACTGAGATACCATGCCGCAGTTTAACATGGATACCCATTCAGACACAGTATACTGACACTGGGCCGTTCAGTCCTTGTTTTATTCCCCAATGCCGAGTGCAAAGCACAAGCATGATACAGTCGCAATGCTAAAGCGACTCTTTCAGCAGATATGTTTTTTTAATATGTAAAGGGTTTTGCCGTGTCGCTATTATTTATATGTAAGTAGATCAAATTGTCAGTTTCGTGATTTTGTTCATGGATCAATTATGATCATTGTTTGTAAGTCGGATGTAAAATGTGAGTCTTAAAAGTACAGTAAACTACGGTTATAACGAACTCAAAGGGACTACTAACTTTAGTTCGTTATAACCGTAGTTCGTTATAAACATATATACAGCATAACTACAGCAAATAGTCGGGACCAAAAAGAAAGTTCGTTATATCCGTCAGTTCGTTATAAGCGTGTTCGTTTTAACCGTAGTGTACTGTAGTTCCATTTGATTCACGAATTCGCTTTTCTCCTTAACGACTATGTCTGGTAAAAAGATTATTACGCCGATGAACTATTGGTACTGAACAAGTGTGCTGTACGTGTTAACTATTAACATCACTATTCACAAATAATATTAACTCATTTTTCTTCATGACCGACGTTTTGGTGGGAGTGGGTGCTCAATAACAATGTTTTTGTGAAGGTAAGCCATGTGATGAAAACGTTACCTCCCCACGTTGGTCGACCTCCATCACTGGTACAATATGGAAAATACGCTTCATTTTACGAATTCGGGTAAACAAGTATATCAGGTTAAGAAACGATTTACTCCAATAAATTACTGGTTACATGCCCTTATGTACTGTATATGAAATGTTTTTTTCTATGCATTCTTTGATTAATCGAGCAAACATGAAAGCCTGGTCGTCCATGAGGACAGATAGAAGCTCGAGCGATGAGTGGCCACATGTATTCAGCGTGGCCAGAGTGTGAGGTCGCGCGGTGTAGAGCAATATAACATCTCCCGGACACCATAGGTACTCTTGAGCATTGTAGGAGTTCCACTATACAGAGATAGGGATATATATATATATAAATATGGGTTGTGTGAGAGAGAGTGTGTGTAGAAGAGCAAGAGAGAGAGAGAGAGAGAGAGAGAGAGAGAGGAAAAAAAGAGGTGTGAGGTGAGAGAGAGTGTGTGTGAGAGAGAGTATGTGTGAGAGAGTGTGAGAGAGAGAGGGGGGGAGAGAGTGTGTGTGAGAGTGAGAGTGTGTGTGTGAGAGAGAGGGGGGTCTGCGTGTATGTGTGAGGTGAGAGAGAGAGAAAGAATGAGAGAGAGGTGGGGTGAGAGAGAGTGTGTGTGTGAGAGAGAGTGTGTGAGAGAGAGGGGGATCTGCGTGTATGTGTGAGGTGAGAGAGAGGTGGGAGGGAGAGAGAGTGTGTGTGTGAGAGAGAGAGAGTGTGTGTGAGAGAGGCGGTTCTGCGTGTATGTGTGAGGTGAGAGAGGGAAAGAATGAGAGGTTTGAGGGAGAGAGAGTATGTGTGTGTGAGAGAGAGTGTGTGTGTGAGAGGGGGGGGGGGGGTCTGTGCATGTATGTGTGAGGTGAGAGAGAGTGTGTGTGTGAGAGATGGGGGTCTGTGCATGTATGTGTGAGGTGAGAGAGAGAGAGAGAGAAAGAATGAGGTAGAGAGAGAGAGAAACACGAGTAACGCTATGGCTGGTGGGAGAATGTGGTACGTGCACCGGTACATCAAATCTAGAGCATTCCTAACCAGTGACAACATCAAAAACATAGGAAGGAAAAGAAGTATAAAAAGCCCCATAACAACAACTCCGGTGCAGGACAGACCTCTTGATATTGTCTTTCGCGATATCATCTCCGCGTCACGCCAGGTTCCCATACCCCATGCTTCCTGTGCAACCCCGACTGATGCGGGTCAGCTGGGTACAATGTGCAACCATCGACTGATGCAGGTCAACTGGGTACAATGTGCAACCATCGACTGTTGCAGGTCAACTGGGTACAATGTGCAACCATCGACTGATGCAGGTCAACTGGGTACAATGTGCAACCCCAGACTGATGCGGGTCAGGTGGGTACAATGTGCAACCCTCGACTGATGCGGGTCAGGTATCTCAATGTGCAACCCCCGACTGATGTGGGTCAGGTATCTCAATGTGCAACCCCCGAGTGATGCGGGTCAGGTATCTCAATGTGCAACCCCCGACTGATGCGGGCCAGGTGGCTCAATGTGCAACCCCCGACTGATGCGGGCCAGGTGGCTCAATGTGCAACCCCCGACTGATGCGGGCCAGGTGGCTCAATGTGCAACCCCCGACTGATACGGGTCAGCTGGGTACAGTGTGCAACCCCCGATTGATGCGGGTCAGGTGCCTCAACGTGCAACCCTCGACTGATGCGGGTCAGGTGGATACAAGATGCAAGCCCCGACTAATGTGCAACCAGGCCGGTGTCATGTATTCCGGCGGCGTGGGTGGTTGCTCATTGATCAGCCCCTTGGTGTTTTGTCCCGACTGTATGTTTTACAGTCTGACGTGAGGCATTGCTGATTCCGGCTTAAATCAACATTCATTCGTTAGTAAAAGCGGCGTAAAAAACATACCCACTCACTCGCTCCAGTGAAGGTAGATATATGTGAGACCCGTGAAGATCCGGGCTAGAAAAGGTCTTCAGCAACCCATGCTTGCCGTAAAAGGCGACTATGCTTGTCGTAAGAGGCCACTATCGGGATCGGGTGGTCAGGCTCGCTGACTTGGTTGATGCATGTCACCGATCCCAATTTCGTGTTTCGATGCTCATGATATCAATTACTGGGTTGTCTGGTCCAGACTCGATTATTTACAGACCGCCGTCATATAGCTGGAATATTGCTGAGTGCGGCGTTAAACAACAAACAAACAAAACACAAGTGCTGTTATTTCTGATTCAAAACACAAGTACTGTTGATAATGACATGTCGATTTTTTGATCGAAACATGAATCCCTGTGTCAAATGCGATACACAAATACCAACAACAAACCAACCATCCAAGATATATATGAGAGCTATATCACGACACATCAAGAATGTGGTTTACATGTACAGAATCGACCCGATGTCTTTAGCGACAAGGAGCGAACACACTACTCTATGGGCTACCCGAAGCACGTAGAACCAGAAGCATGGCGATAAGCTTAGTATCAGAATGAATAAGTAAGAATAAGCAAAGAGTTAAACAACTCATAAGCATATTTTAAGTGGAGGACATATGGACGGGACACCTTCCTACAGACGTCCCAATGGGTTTCACGGGCTCTTCACGTTACACGGGCTCTTCACGTTTCACGGGCTCTTCACGTTTCACAGGCTCTTCACGTTTCAAGGGCTCTTCACGTTTCACGGGCTCTTCACGTTTCACAGGCTCTTCGCGTTTCACAGGCTCTTCACGTTTCAAGGGCTCTTCACGTTTCACAGGCTCTTCACGTTTCACGGGCTCTTCACGTTTCACGGGCTCTTCACGTTTCACAGGCTCTTCACGTTTCAAGGGCTCTTCACGTTTCACGGGATCTACGAGTTTCACGGGCTCTTCACGTTTGACGGGCTCCTCACATTTCACGGGCTCTTCGAGTTTCACCAGCTCTTCACGTTTCAAGGGCTCTTCACGTTTCACAGGCTCTTCGCGTTTCACGAGGTCTTCACGTTTCACGGGATCTACGAGTTTCACGGGCTCTTCACGTTTGACGGGCTCTTCACGTTTCAAGAGGTCTTCACGTTTCACGGGCTCTTCACGTTTGACGGGCTCTTCACGTTTCACGAGGTCTTCACGTTTCACGGGCATAGAAAAGGTTGATGGGGAGGACATTGTCAGATTTTACGTTTCGGCAACCAAACTGATATCCGAGGCAATTCCATATTTTAACTTGTACCATATATCCCCGTGTTTGTTCAGGTGACCACTTGACCTGCGTTTGCATGTGTTTGTGACGGGGCAGGATACGCTGACACCTTGTACCATCACTGTTTGATAGTGATTCATAACATATATTGTCAGGATCGTACAAAGAATCCGATTTTAGCAGACATTTCTTAAGATATTGGAAAGGGCTTTGTCACATGTCTCGAAACACAAGTGCTCGGCGACAAAACATTCTCCAATATCACAAGCTAATATTTTGTCCATTCCGTACGTTGTGTTTATACATCACCTGATTACGTAACTGCAGGTTTTTTACAATGAAAATATTCACAACAAAAATGTAATCACGTTTCTTTCAAGACGTGACCATAAGACATTAATGGCGTAATGGAATGTCCTGACGTAACATGCACTTCTATTGGAATAAGCTATTTGCCTAACGAAATATTGCAATAAAGGTTTTCACGTAGACACATTTAAGGCATTATGGGCCCTGCTGACAGATTATAAGGAATCCTTACATTCGCACACTAAAAATATAAATCATTAACGTATCATTTGTGAGAGAACCAAGTCACGACTTACCAATATCTCAGATTAACTTTACAGGAAAGTATTGCAATAATGTTTCATTAGGAAGACCTTGCGAGACGAGGAATGGCTTGCCACTGAACACGAATTGTAGTAATTAAATATGAGAAAAACAAACTGGTTTTTAACATAAGACTGTCGTAATGTCACTAAAACCCATGTAATAAGAGTAGCCTAAGCGACCTAGGCATCTACATAGCTCGATGCGAACGTGTCTTGTGACCATTTGCACGTTTGTCGAGTATTCTTGAAGGTGATACTGCGCTCTAATCTCTAAATAGTATAATAACTAGATATAGATGGGTAAAGAAACAGTTTCAATTGATCTGACTTTCAAGGGGACTAGAGAGATCTGGATGTATTAAAACGAGCTCTTAAGTCCTCAGGGGGGTTGGGAAGGTGGGGAAAATATCTATATCGCCAACCAGGGAGAAGGAACAAAGCGTCGTCGCCGCCACTGCCTAATCTCGGAGTCTTCGAGAGCTCGCTTTCTCTCCTCTCGCGAGAAGAGCCCGAGATTACATGTAAATAGCCAGATTTAGAAGACACAGCGTGTTCACACGATCTGCGGTCTGAACGTCCTGAAATGTCCATTACAGAGTGAGTGAGGGGTTTAATGTCGATTTAAACAGTAATCAGTTATTTCACGGCGTCATGCGACTCTTGCTCAAAAGTTGTTTGATCAGGGTTACTGCATTCGGTGCCTTAGTAGGGATTTAAAAAAAGAAGGTTTTATGGAAGGCATGTGGATGAAATTTCGAAATTTGAAGCATCAGTGACCAAAATGATGTCCAATGCAATTCCTTTGTTTGACATGATCATATATTCCCTTGTTGTTTTTTCAGGTGAATAATTGACTTGCCTTTGCATGTGTTTGTGGCCGGTGCCACCGATGGGGCAGGACCATCAGAACCTGCTATCATGACTGTGTGATTGTGATTTGTAAACACGTGCATATGATATAGTCGAAATCGTCCAATGGATTTTTCATGTTTATGGAAAGGGTATAATTGCCTTATATTTATACCGAGGAAAGACGAAGGATCATAATCGGACCGAACAAGGATTCGAACCCGCCATCGACGGATGCTAGTACCACAAAGGGACGCAAATCTACACAGATAGGTGCTTCGCTCTTGGTGCACTGGGCAAAGACAAAATATGATCAATGTAAAATGTCTATCAGATTATACGTAATTACAGTGAAGACAGTGAAACCATATACATTGACTTGTAATTACAATTTGCTGATATTTTCGGATATAGCGAAAACTTTACATATAAAAAAACCCCGTTATACCTGAAATTGATTACTCGAATGAAAAATAACTTTCACCATAATTCCTGCTTGGCGAATAAACTTCAGTTCATGGTAGCCGATCTTTCGATACATAAAACTTCGTATAAGATTAATTTAACATAAATATTGGAAGAAACACATTTATACGACATCGGCTGCACATTTTTCTTCGATTATTCGAAATTACGGTTAAGTCGCAAAAACTTTTTACTTATTTCGAATTCGAGAAAAAGGAAATATATACGTTTATTCCACCTCCGTCAAATAACGGATGTTATAAATATAATCATGTACTTGAGAAGTCTCTATGTGTTGAAGCACAGAACAGGGTGAGTGCAGATTTTCTGATGCAGCTTAACTATAGTCATATGAAAAAATCACATGTTCCTTAACTTCTTTGTGTAGTATACAACAAACTGTTGCTATTGAGAAACTTTGATATAAAATGAGTCTTACTGTCTATTAAAAGGATAAGCTTAGCAATTGTGCTCAGTGTTCTGTGTGGAATTGAGACACCGTCCCGTCTTACTTAACACAAACAGCCATTTCATATGACGGTTCTTCGTATCAAACTTGCGATCAGTGTTGTTGAAATGTCTGACTCAATATTGCATGCCCAGCATTTTACCGGTGACGAGCCCACCTTATAGTCGTAAACAAAACTACTTGAATGACGACATTGAACCACTCGATCACGGGACCTTCACATGTTGAAGAACAGGGATACACACTCCTTTGTTTTGTCCATTTATTAACGTGACAGAAACTTTCTACCGTCCATGAATATCATTGAAATTCCTCTCCACATCGAGGAACAGGAGTTTTAAGCATTAAAGAAGCTAATTTATATATACCTTTAAGATAAGAATTGACAAGAAGAAATAAGAAAATATGCATTCATTCATTCATTCATTCATTCATTCATTCGGGGGAACGGGTGGCCCAGTCGTCTAATGCGCCGCAGTTAGCTCCCTTTGGCACGCCTGAAACCTGTGATTGTGGGTTCGAATCCCGGTTCGCCCCGATTATGTTTCTAGGTTTGTCAGCACCATAGTCGTGCTCGTGGGTTTCACCGAAGTGTTAAACATCTGAGACCTGCATCACTTCGGGCACTCACTCACTCACTCACTCACTCACTCACTCACCCACTCACTCACTCACTCACTCACTCACTCACTCACTCACTCACTTAAGTTCAACATTAGTCCATTCAAATTAAGAACTGGATAATATCTAAATACTGTCCTACGTATAACTACTGTTATTATTATCGGTGTCCCTTACGGGAGAGAGCGTTTAAAGTGGACTTTCAACATCAAAGAAACATACAGAGCCTGTGTTCTACCTTCGGTAAGAAACACTTTACTCGTAATCAGTTGTTTCCTACACCTGGAGCTATAACAGGGCAGGGCTACTTGTTAGCTTGCCTTTAAACACCACACTTCAATACATTCAGCGGAAACTGCCAAGTTGTTGTTAAAGCCGTAAAACAATTATCGCAGATGTCTCAATATGTTTTTGCAAAGTAAAATAATCGTATGTGTTATGCCAAAAAATGTCAGCTGTCACAAGTGGTAAAAACAGAAGTTCAGTGTTTACCCGGACCCGTGTCTCCTGTGTAGAAATCGCTGAGAATAAATAAACCATTCATCACGCACGATTATGAATGATAAATATGCTTATTAATGAAAAGTCAGGTTTGAGTGGATAATTCTTTATGACACTGACAGATCTAATTTAAACGTCTCACTGAGATTTGCTTAGGTCACCTAACTGGTAGGAGGGTGTCCACGAGGTCACACAGTTACATATCAACGGGGTGGTGGATGGTACACGAGGTCGTACAGACACGCAGGCACATGTGGCACATTAATGGTTTCCGCAGCAGTAGAAGTAGTTGTAATAATTATACTAGTAGCAGCAGAAATTGTAGAAGCAATTATAGTAGTAGTAGTAGTAGTAGTAGTTGTGGTGGTGGTTTGTAACAAAAAAGTAGTAGTACAAGCAACAGTAGTAGTAGTAGTAGTAGTAGTAGTAGTTGTAGCAGTAGTAGTAGTAGTAGCAGTAGTAGTAGCAGTAGTAGCAGCAGTAGTAGTAGCAGCAGTAGTAGCAGAAGTAGTAGTAACAGTAGTAGTAGTAGAAGTAGTAGCAGTAGTAGCAGTAGTAGTAGTAGTAGAACTAGTAAAAGTAGAAGTAGTGGTTGGGGCAGAGGTAGTGGTCGTGGTCCTGGTAGTAGCAGATGTAGTGATAATAGTTGACGTAGTGGTAGGAGTAGAAGTAGTGGTAGTATATAGAGTTAGTGGTAGCATTAGATGTAGTGTTAGTAGAAGCGGTAGCGGTAGAAGCAGAAGTAGTAGTAGTGGTAGTAGTAGAGGAGTGGTAGTAGTAAAAGTAGAAGTAATCGTAGAGGTAGAGGTAGAAGCAGAGATAGTGGTAGTGGTGGTAGTAGAGGTAGTGGTAGTAGTAAGAGTAGAAGTAATCGTAGATGTAGAAGCAGAGGTAGAGGTAGAAGCAGAGATAGTGGTAGTGGTGGTAGTAGAGGTAGTAGTAGTGGTGGTAGTAGAGGTAGTGGTAGTGGTGGTAGTAGAGGTAGTGGTAGTGGTGGTAGTAGAGGTAGTAGTAGTGGTGGTAGTAGAGGTAGTGGTAGTGGTGGTAGTAGAGGTAGTAGTAGTGGTGGTAGTAGAGGTAGTGGTAGTGGTGGTAGTAGAGGTAGTGGTAGTGGTGGTAGTAGAGGTAGTAGTAGTGGTGGTAGTAGAGGTAGTGGTAGAGATAGTGGTAGTACTTGCACCCGGGTTTATGTTTCAGTAGCGTAACGATCACTATTAACACGTCAACGACCCGCATGTTTTGTTATCAATGTACTGCTAAGAGCTAACAGGTTATGCAGTCAGTCCTCTTAACACATTTAACACACTTAAAGACGTTAACCGAATTAACTACTATAGACCAGTTGTCATCAATAGACATGATTGTTGCTGACATATTTCCTGTCCTCGCTCCACCAACAACACACGAGCAACAGTAGACGGCGCGGTCCTCCATTCAAACAGACAGT